TAGTAACAGGTGCCTTACTAGTAGTAACAAGAAGCTAGTAGAAACAATAATTAAATTACTGTAGGACTTCGTCTCCTTTGATCTCTGGGAGCCGGCTTAGGCACCGGCGGCCGCCCCATGTTGGGGTGTCCTTGGAGATGGAAGGTCTCCAGTTAACTAGTTGTAAAGCTGCTGATACCGCAAGGGCGCCCGGATACCGCAAGGGAAGCCTGGTGAACCCAGGACAACAAGATGTTTCAGAGGTTGATGAAAGTGAGCGAGCCTTTAGGCAATGTGCAGATGGTTGTCCTGGCATTCGGAAGTTTGAAAGAGGACCTATATGCCTATATGATTATATGATGCAGGTGATGCAATGGCAATGTTGTTACAGTGATCATTGGCATGTCATTGGTGCTGAATCGTTGAGGAGGGGAGAAGGAAGGAAAGGGAGGTGAGAGTGCAGTGTTGGGAGGGCATTATGAGCCTACTACGTCTGCTCGAAGTGGCTTTGAGGATTCACACACCTTTTTCTCCCAGCCTTTGAAGCCGATGCATTTCCGGACATACGTTGTGCCAAGCTGAGTTTTCATACGCTGTTTGAAAGCGCTATTAAGTTGTGATGACGAGCCAGAGTGGCTCAGTTGGAGGGGAACAGGCCGGGCGAGACCAAGACACAAGACACAGTGAGCAGAGGAGATAAGGAGTCAGCTAGGGCATCCAAGTATTAAGTGGTTTGCCATATATAATTATGCATGTCGCACTGTGGAAACAAATTTTGCCAATGCATGGCCTTAATGGAAATAAATTCCAAGAGCAAGAGACACGAGACAAAAGAGCAGAAAAAAAATGCTGACGGCTTCCTATATTATTGCATTGCCCTTGACTACATTGCCTCGACTACGCACGCTGGAGCTCTTGATGGGCACGGTGAGGTCGCTTCATGTGTTTTAGGTGTTGAACTTGAACATTTTTGGGCCTGTGCAAGTCCCAGCTGAGGAGATGAGACAAGCGAAGAAATCTGGACATTCCATGTCGTTAGAATCTAAGGATTAAAGTGATCGATCAAAAAATTGCTCCCAGCTACTTTGCTTGCCAGGTGAAGAGGCTCCTACAACTCCGTGGTCTTCATGGGCATTGGATATCAAAAGGAAGTTCACAGCTTTGCTGGCGTGAAGCGTTCATATGAGGTGTCCAGGCTAGCAAATGAAAAGCAGCATTTGAAGAGGCCGTGGATGAGGAAAACGTTGACAAACTATGGCAGAAAACATCGGCTCAGGTTTGGTTAATTTTGGAGGTGTCTAGGTTCACCACGTTAGCTGTAGCTAGCTGGAGTCTGTCTTGCTTTAGCAAGGAGGGGTGGAAACCCAGGACCCGAGTCCTAACCCCTGATATATCAGGCATATACTCCCCCCCCCCCCCCCCCCCCCCCCGCGGGTTCAACTCCCCCCTTCCCCCCTGACCGTTTCTCAGTTCCCAACGTGGCCGCTGTGCTGTTGCTGTTGCTGCTTCTTTGCCGCTGCTGCTGCTGTTTCTATAATGTTTCTCTGCTGCTGCTGCTTTGCCGCTGTTGCTGCTGCTGCCGCTGCTGCTTGAAGCTTGCATTCGGCCGTCTATTTACACCAAACACTTGCTGCTTCTTGCTGCTGCTGCTGCAAACTACGATTTACACCAAACCGCCGTTTACACCAAACACCGTCTATATACACCAAGCCACGGCTTGCACCAACCACCGTTTACACCAAAGCACGGTTTACACCAAAGCACGGTTTCCACCAACCGCGGTTTACACCAACCACCGTCTACACCAACCACGGTCTACACCAACCACGATTTACACCAAACCACGATTTACACCAAACCATCGTTTACACCAAACACCGTCTACACCAAGCCACAGTTTGCACCAAACCACGCTTTACACCAAACCATGGCTTACACCAAAC